TTGGAACTAGGTGTTCATGCTCAATCTTCTTTTGTAGCTTTTTGAAAGGAAAGAATTTCTTACAGCCAAATCAGTTGCCTTTTTAAATCTGGGAGAACTGGAGTAATGAAGCCTGTGAGGCCTACTTTGGAAGCATGCCTCCAAAACCCTGCAAAAGTTCTTTTACTTAAATTTGTCTGAATAGCATAATCAGTCTTGTGTTTTACGATGCTCAATTACTAGGAATGTAATTTCCATGTTTATAGGTAATGTTTTCTACATATTTTTGTAATGTGTGCAGTGTTTTTCCTAGCAATTTTTTTATGCTGTTCAGCTTCATTACCTTCTACAACACTGTACCCAAATTTATTCTTGAAGTATTGATAATTTCCTTTGTTTTCTAATGTGAAAAAGAAACTCTGCTAAACCTGCAGATTTCGAAGACACAGAGCAAGAGGTGCTTGAAGAGGGGAAACTGGTGCTCAAGTTCACAAATTAGAGTAGGCTTGTAGTTACAGCTTAACTAACTGGCAGAGAAAAAGCTATGGTTTAAGAACACAGATGGCAGCAGGCTTATGTCTACCCCTGGAAAAGTAAACTTTTCTGCCACAATGTCCAGATCTGTTTGGATAATGATAAAAAGATACTGGGCAAAATGCAAGAGTTCTGTGACTGTTTGCCCAGAGTATAAATATTTCAGGCTTTGAGTGCTTGTGTGGCTTAAATGTTGCAGAAAGACTCAGTTATTTTTAGGTTGGGGGAGCAGGAAGAGTACTTGTTTCCTGTCTTCCCCTCCCCCAGGAACCTTAGGTACGTTAATGAGAAGAAATATATCAACCCCTGAGCTGGTTTACCAGTTCCAGTTGAACAAGGTCAATACATTTCCTGACCTGCTTTGTGGAGGGGGTAGTACAGCCACGTTGACAGTATTCTTTTTGAACAAAGGCATTGAGAGTTTCAACTGAAACAAGTCTGCAGTTTACTTGATAGTTGCATATGAATGTCTCCAAAACAATGACTACTAAAGCTTATAACTAGAATTAGTCTTCCGGTTGCTGTTACGTAAACTTTGACGCTATGCACAGACATGACTAACTTGAGAAATCAGTGAAACTGAATACTCCAGTTCCTCTTAGCTATTGTAACACTAATATATTTAGGTAACAACCATTAATGTTTTCACATCAGCTGTTGCTCCTCTTGTACATAGCTACAAATTCATCCTACTTGTAGGTGTTAGTACATATCCATGCTATAAAACAAAGGAATGTGATAACTTGGTAACAGTACTTGTCTGGTTCAAGCTATACCAGACTGCTTCATTTGGCAGTTCAGGGGTTTTTTGTTACCTTGATCCATAGAGGCATAAAGCAAGCCATAGCAGTGTTGTGGATTTTTTCCTAATGGGGAGAGGCAAAATATGCGTATGGTCCTGGTTACTGAAAAAATTGTGTAAGGCAATATAATTGCTTCTTTTCCTGTTGCATGAGTATTGGCAGCAGTACACAGGTGTTAACTTTGGGAGGAAGAGTGTCTGGGCCTATTGTATGAATCTCGTTACATTTGCCATCAGTGTGCACATAGGCTTCATAAAAGTGATCGCTCTTCCTGAAAAAAAACAGTGCAGCAATCCGCCTAGAAGCACAGAGCTTCTTGGCACTGTGAAGCGTGTGCAGAACAGGCTTAGAATCACTCAAGCAAGAAGCAGAAAAATACTAGCTTTGGCATGCAGACGTGTCCCCATGTGTGGAGCCAGGATAGAAACTGCAGGCTTGTCTTAGCATGCTCTTGCAGCAGCTACACAGAAATGTAGCTACACTACTCTGCAGAGCTGTGCTTCTTCTTCAGACTTCTCTGTTTTCCGTTTACTTAGCAATGATGGTTATGCTGTCTTTGGGAATACTGCTTTGCAGTTAGGTCTAGGATTTTGTTTCATTTAAAGTTAAGATGTTAGAAAACTAGTAGTTCTTGCTGCTTACTTTGATCCTTCCTGCCGAAGCAAAAATTTGGTGCTGGTATTAGCTGCCTTGGGAAACAAACTGTATGAGAGGGTAGCAACTGAGAATGAAGTTTGTGATATCTTGAATTCTGGAGAAAATTGACTGTCTGCTTACAGAGGCTTGCAACCTCTCACATCACTAATTAGGTACAAGCAGTCAAATTGTAATCTGATGTCTGAATTATACTTAGTTAAAAAGACATAGCAGAGCATGTTTACTTGACTAGTGAGAAAGTTAAGCAATTCCAATTGGCTTCAAATATATTTTTAATTTGCAGATGAAAAATCAGCAAGAATTTTGCTGCTAGTTAAACTTTTTTGTCAGTAGTTCTTACGGACTTGTGCAGTTTGCTCTGCATGGAATTCCAGTTTTCTAACGGTTTTGTTTAATACAAAATGAATAATTAAAAAGTGTGTAAATACTTAGCTAGTTAAATATTGGTAGGAGAATCCCTATCAAAAGACGAAAAGGAGCCTTTGTTATTAAACAGTATGTAAATATAAGCTGAAGTGGTGAACCATATGAAGGACGGGCATAAGTCAACATTTGCTGCTTTCAGACAGTAGGGTCTGCACACTGCAGGCAAGTCCTTAGTGGGTATTGAAGGGTCTGAACATAAGCAGGGCTGGTGCCTTCTCCTGTTTTTCTTGATGAAATTGTAGGTAGTAGAACTGAGGCTGCAAAGTGAATCATGCTCCAGTTTGATGCTTTAGAATAAAGCCTTTTGCTTCTTATCTGAGAACTCCCAAAAAAACTTGTCTAAGTTGTAAACTTTTCATAGAAAAAGTGTGTGGGGAGTGGGGTTGTGATTTTAAGAAGCTTGTGTTTCAAAATAGGCCTTTCACAATTCCTGCTTCTGGTCAGATTGTACATACTTCACATGTGTGAAACAGATGTGATTTAGCTAGGTATAATGTAGCCTGTTGGCATGTATCCTTTGGAGGCTAAGAATAACATTATCTAGGTATGGAAGACTGCAGTATGTTCTTATAATGGTCACCCTGAGCTGCTCTGATCTGTGTATGAGCATGTATTACTGGTAGTTACTTCTGACTGCACCAGTGTCTGAGAAGAAAGAGGAAAGCACATGATTACAGCTTTCTGGTGGTATTGAAGTATAGAAAATAGGATGCAAGTGACAGGTTGATATATAATACACACAGTAAGGCTAAAGGGGGTGTATTAAGAAGAAATAAGGGATTTCCAGTTAGGAAGATGGAACTGAAAGCTAGAGGAGGGGGGCTGGGGAAATTGGTGAGGTGACATGATATCAAGAAGAAAAGTGTGGTGAGCTAATCCAAGAGTAAGAGAAGTGCCTATGGTGAAGGGAGCCATTTTTAGAAGTAGTGAAAGAACGGGAAGCCTTATATGAGAACCTGCAGAAAGTTAATGTCTGTTAGCTAATGATACCTGTCATCAGGGAGTCGGTGCAGAAGTCTGGAATCATGGGTCGGCCAAAAACAGCTCTGAGACAGCTGGTGGGATTTTCCGCTTGGCCTGTGGGCTGGAGGAGGAGTCATGGAGCTGTTCTAAGAGGTTGGAAAAACAGACTGTAACTACTTGGATAGTAACCCAGCTAAGTAAAAAGTGATTAGCAGTAGGGCCATGTTCATCAAGGTGACTGGAGTTCAACTCAGGCTTGAAACACAGCTTCCTAAGGTGCTGGAACTAGGAAGTGTTACATTGGGGCAGTTGTGGATGCAAGAGGTAATCATGGCTTGAGATGTTTCCTTTAGTTGCTCTTTAGCAGCCCTATGGACTGTTGTTCTGATATCACAGTGTAGTGTTCCATCACCTCAGTTGATCATTTGTGGGACTATGCTGTGAACAAAGGACTGATGTGTTTAATAAGAGATCACTTCTTCCTACTCCTGTATTCAGTTTTTGAGTTGGGGCTGACTGTGAACCTAAGATTAGTCAGAATAGAGGCAGCGTTTTTGTATGATGTGAAACACGATCCCTCCAGGACCATACTGCTGCAGAAACACCCTTCTCCTTTTTTCACTGTTTAGCCATGTGAATGGATTTCCAAAGCACATCAGTGCCTCATGTTGAGGGCAGTTAACTAGAAATGATTGGCTTGAGGAAAAGACAAAGATGGGGCAAAGTCTTGTTAAAAGCATATTGTTAAATATTACCATGAGATGCTCTCAGCTGCAGTTTTATTGTTTTGTCACAATTTAACAAAACTATTCCTGCAAGAAATGAAGCTGGATTTTTTACTGATAAGGTGACAAGAGATAAATTGGGGAACAGTATGCAAGCCATATAAAACAAGGGTGTCCAGTGGCCCAGGCAATTCCAACTTTTCTTAGCTTTCCCCTGCTTGTTTTCATAATCCTGCAAAACAACAGAGATGAGTAGAACTGGATTTTCTGCAAGTGTGTGTCTTCTGAGCATCAAACACTTTTCATTTTAATTTTGTGGGTTAAAACAATGCAATAAAATGAGTTTAATGACAGAGCAAGTTCTGCTTTTTCATAGACCTCTTTGTCCTACCCTCCCCTTGCCTTTCCATGGTAACTCCAGAACCTCATGAGTTACTAGTAATGCTGGCAGAGGCTAATGTTTACAACTCAGTCTGTTTTTTGAATACAGGCTTCAGTCTTCTCTAGCAAATTAAAACCAGAAGGGAACAGCAGGGAGCAGAATGGAATTTATTTCTCTTATGTGGCTTGTGATGTTAACAAAATACTTTAGGTATTTTTATTGTTATTTTGCCTAGAAAATGGCTTTTACCTTCTTTCTGTCCAATCTCTGTAATGTGGAAGCCTACAGCACTTACCCCAGCACACTGAAAGCCTTCACTGAGATGTGTTGCTTTACTTCCACTGTAGTAATGGACTGTAGTATAATCCTGTTACTTTTCTGGGGGTGTGTTTTGGTTTTCAGGTAAAAAGATCAAAACTAGTTAATCCATTCAGAAATGTTTTTTCTGCTGTTCTTGCACAGCTGATGGAGGTGAAATGTAATTGCTTTGCAACATTTAACAAGTCTTTCTCTTTTCTCAAATTACCCTAGGTGAAAGTACACTAAAGGAAGACTTGCTGAAATCTGAAGAGGGAAACGGGCTCAGTGACTCAAACTCCAGTGGTTCCAGAATTTGTAATGTAGACAGGATAAGGATTTTTTCTGTTCAGTTAGTGCTGTGCTTTATTTGCTGGTTTCTCAGGGGAAAAGACTCAACATGTTGAATCACAGAGACGTTACTTCCTGCTGTTACTTCCTTGCAGCTCTCCCCTCCATGGCTGGAGGAGCTGTTTTTGCATAGTGCGTGTTCTAAGACAGGAACTTACTGGAGGTGAAGACAGAAGCCAACCAGTTCTGTGCTGAATGTAATAGTTTCTGACTCAAATTGTGTGGTAATTGTCAAAATATCTTAGGGTGTGGTAGGATCTGCTGTGTCAAACATGGCTGATGATTTATTCCCACATAATTTGACTAGATGAGTATAATCTGAATTAACATATGAAATGGGGAAAAAGATTCCTTGATGTTTTCTAGCCACTTGAAACCTGATTGTGTGCAAAAATAAATTTCAGTATGCTTGAGTATTTATGGGTTTTTTTCCCACTTGCTCAAACTTAACTCCCATTCTTTCTGATTTCCCACAGAAAGAAAGAAAAGCTACTTGCTATAGCTTCAAAAATACTAATAGAAAACTGAGCACTGGAAATATGATAGAGCTTCAAGTTACTATCAGTTTCACTAGCAATTAAAAACATGTAATCCTAGAGGTTACAGTAGTAAATTGATACCAATTATTTTGACATATATACTTACTTCATACAGCTGGCTTTCCTTCTAGAAGATAAGTATTCCTAGCAGCTTGTTACAGTACTGAGTTTGTGTCAAGTATAAGATTGGCACATTTACTATGAAGACAAACTTTCAGAGAATTCATATGAATTCTACTTCTTCAGCAGTTCTTTGTGATAAACAAGGGCTTGCAGCTCCAAGAGGCAAACAGGAAAGGGATGGAGGGGTGGTAGTCAAATTTTCAGGCAGATCAACTCCAGCTGGAGTTAAGTTTTCTCAGTGTGGAATAGTGTTAAACAGTGTAGCACTCCTCTATCCTCTTTTTTCAGAAATTACTTCAGATCTGCTTTTTACCTGGAGTGCTAGAGGAGAGTTCTGGATGAAGCCATTTTTTTACTCTCTTGTATTTTAACCTCTACTGTACATTGTCCAGTCATTGTTCAGCAAACAGTTCCTTTTGGTGGACTGTTCTCTGGTGCTATTTGGAGAAAAGGGAAGGAGTTGATCTCTAGATGAGTATCTGAAATACAGGACTTCAAAGGACTGCCTGAAGTTGTTAAACCTAGTGACTTAGAGCATCTAGAAAAGCCACTTTGCAGGATAATCCCTTATTATTATACATTCCCAGCATATTCCATGATAATGTTTGCATTTTTGTCTCTGGGCAAAAACTAAGCACTATCAGAAGTGCAACTTCTGACATAATTTTAAATAAGTGAATCTTCTATCTCTAGATGCAATTTTTGCTGGATTAAAAAAGCTATATATTTTAATATTTTTATAAAATATAAATTTATGTATTTGTATGTAATATATATTTATATGTATATATTTGTATATTTTTATATTTAGGTGTGGTCTGTGTGCCTAATTTGACATAAAAATGCTTGAAAAAATAATAATGAAAATTTTCCTTAATGGCGAATGACATACATGTAAACCACTGTTAGACTCTGTGTGTGTGACTGACTGTTTGTTAAAGGAAAAGCATGCTTTCAGAGTGTGGTTTTTGGACTTCCAGACAGATTACACAAACTCAAGGAGGCCCAGCCCACATCCTGTGTAGAAAACCAGCTCACAGAAATGCTCATTGTTCTTCAGGGTTATAAGCCACTCTATTTTGTGCCTCCCTTCTATTTCAAAATATTGTATGGAAAATACTAATGCAGAGGAACCACAGCAGCTTAGCAAGTGCTTGGTCCTGCCAGGTACTGAGCACTGTACTCTTACCAGAAGGCTGGGGGTCTGGGATTAAAACATTAGGCTTCCTGGCTAGATAACAAAGCGTTTGTGTTGGTAAAAGTAGCTGAGAGCGTTTATCAGGTGAGTAAATCAGTTGGTAATTGACATACTTTCAACCTAAAAGTTGCTTGTATGCGGCTGTGCCAGTATTTACCATCTCAGAGTGGAAGTTACAGGATATGAGGTTGCCTTCAAGCAGGGTGACTTCTCCCTGACACAGATTAACCTCTTCTCAGTCTTTCACTGCAGAAAGAGAATGTGGGGTGTCCAGACCTGATAGCCCCACCAGAAAGTGGTTAGTATTTGTGAATCCCTACCCATGCTTATTGCTGAATTGTGTTATTCCACCTGCAAGCTAATGGACCTAACCATAAAGGGACCAGTCAAGTCAAAAACAGTAAAACCTGTTAACTCTTCCCTTTTTTAACCTATATTATAATTTTGGAGTTTTTTTTTAAAAAGCTGAGGTGCTTTCATTTTAACTTTTAAACAGGAAAAGTGTTCCAATGTTAGTTTTAGACCCCTTCTATTATGTTTTTCTTACTTCAAAAAAGCAACAGCTTGTATTTTCTTGCTAGAGTTCAGTACCCATTTAAGACTAGAATATTCGTTATGATAATACAGACGTAGCTAAGCAAAAGGCTGCCATGAGAGTTTTTGAGGTTGTGTCCTGCTTTCTGGGGTCTTCTGAAAGGAATCACTTCCCTTTAGTCTCTGCCACTCTCCTGACTGTGCAGCATTCCCAAAACATGTGGCCCATAAAATGGGATTATAAGGGAGGCATTCAAGTAAACAGAAGTTCCCTTGGGATGAGATTTGCTTTTATATGTGGAGCTCCTGTGTGCTGTAGCCTGGTGCTGGAAAGAATTCTCTTGGTGACTCCAAGGCTGGGAGAGCACCCAGACCACCCTCATGTTTTGGGGATAGTCTTCTCCTGGCTGGCACAATAAAGTCCCCTTTTGCAGTGTTTTTTTTTTTTTTTTTGCAGATGGACACACCCAATTGCAAATTTCTTTCTGTGTCTCTTCAGTGTATCTGTGTAGCAATAAATGACCAGTCTTATGATGTGGCTGTTGCTGCCAGAAATCTGCAGTGAACATACAGCTGTATCAGTCATTAGTTGTACAGTACTGCTGAAGCAGCCCAGTGCTTTTGTGCATTGTGTTCAAGGGGGTAAGTAGCTGCTTAAACATAAAAACCTTTGTGCTTCTATGAGCACAGTTACATTAGTGTATAGTAGTCTATTTCTGTGATTATGTGGTCCTGTTCAGCCTCTTCTGTTGAAAGTATACAGCCTGGGACAGCTCAGTCTGCTGTTTGAGTATTTTTGAGTTATTTGTTGGGACTAAATTGTATTTGTCTCAGCAGGAAACATTTCCAGACCTGTTCCCTGCATCCATCCTGGCCTAAATAACTCAGGCTGTCATTGCTGCTCTACAGGATGATGCTATGTGGGATATCAGGGCACAAAGTGTTTAGTCTTGTGTTCATTTTGCTGTAGCTATGTTTCATATTTTGAAAGAACTTGCCACAAATGGATGTTGTCTTTCTACCTCTCCAGTGCCTGGTAGTCACCAGGAGAATGATTCAGTCAGTAGTAGTTCCCATTACCATAGACTCATAGAATGGTCTGGGTTCAAAGGGATCTTAAAGATCATCTAATTCTACCCCTTGCCATATACAGGGACACCTTCCCCATAATCACATTACTCAGGACCCCATCCAGCCTGCCCTTGCACACTTCCTGAGATGGGACATTTGCAGCTTCTCTGGACAGCCTGTTGCAGTGTTTCACCACTCTCACAGTCAAGTATTTCTTCCTGATATCTAATTGAAACCTGTCCTCTTTCAGATTGAAGCCATTCCCCCCTTGTCCTATTACTACATGCCCTTGTAGGAAGTCTGTCTCTGGTTTTTCTGTAGGGTCCCTTTGTATACTGGAAGGCTCCTTATTGCCAGTAGCCAGGCTTCAGATGCTGGTGGCCTTGTCTCAGCTTCCTGGAGGTGCTGCTCTGTATCACAGCATGGCTGCTTTTGTGCAGGGGGAAAGCTGCAATTGTAAATACCATCCTTAAAACAGCAGGAATTCATAAATTCCCTTAGGTAACTGTATTCCAGATGTGGCCTGTGTTTGTTATGTCCTTGATGTGCTACTGGGCATTAGTGAGGAATATGATAAAAGATCCCTCCAGACTGGAGGACTGCCCTCTGCATTTAGTCAGCACAGTCTTATTTGTACTGACTTTACCTTTCTTTAGAGGTGACTCTGAACAGAAATAGTTAAACTTCTTGTAATTGTGAAGCTTTGAACCAATAGCAGCAGTGAGAATTTTCAATTATCTGAAGAAACGTACATCAGAAATTCTTGTCTTTTATTTCTGTACCTGGTACAAAGAAGTAGAACAGCCCTGGGAACAGGCAAGACAACCCAGTTCCTGCTGCTGTCAAAAGCAGCAAATCCGTTCATTTGTGTACTTACTATTGTAACCAAAGGAAAGAATTATTTGCTGTGGGTTTTAAATCAGGAATTGCTATTCTTTCTCTTGTTTGGTTTCTTTTGAAAACCTTTACAATGGGGACAACGCTTACAAAATTAAGGGAGGTAAATTTGGGGCCTATATCTCACACCACAGGTGGCTGCACTCAGGAGTAATGTCATTATCACATCTGTACAGTTTTGTTTTGTTTTTTTTTCTAGTGGGTCAGGTTCTCTGCCCTCATCTCGGGGGGGTGGGGTTGGAATAAATGAGAGAGGCTGACTTAATTTGATGGCAGACTATTGGTAAGAGTAATGGTTATTTGAAGACTGCTTAGTCCTATTTAAGGTTGGGATCTTTTTGGAAAGTGATTTATGAGTGTATTTTGTACAGGAGCCTATTTAAGAGCTGAGTCTGAATAAATCTGTCATTTGCTACATCTCCATTGGTATTTTCATCATATTTCAATTGTATGAGAATTAAACAGGATTATTAAATAAAACTTTCTGAATGTCAGGAAGATTAATTACAGTTTTTAATACCCGCAGGTTTTAGGAAAACATGCTGAATTATGAGGGGAAGTACCAACTAAATAACTTTTTCTAATAAATATAGATATAGATGATACAGCTGTAACTGCTGGGAACCAAAAATGTCATGTGAGTAACAGTAGCACCTGCTTGTATTTAATTTAATTTCTGTGTGGGATTGTTTATGTTGTAGTAAATGGCAGTTTATGAACAAGCTTTTGAGGGGAATGACGCATTGCTAAGGCTGCAATATTTTGTATTGTACTGTACAAGTTCTTTACCATAACTCAAAGGATTTGTTAGCTTCCTTCCCTTCTCAGTCTACCTGCTTACCAGTGCTGTCAGGAAGGTGAAGTTGCAGTGAGCTGGGTCAGTAGGAGAAACCTCACTTTTCTTGCAGTGTTTGATGCCAGTGTAGCTCTGTGAATGGCTTGTCACAGAGTCAAGTAGGTGCCAGTGCAAGGGAAGTAGGAGAGGGAATCTCCTGTTTTGGCAGCAGTTGGCAATCAGATTTGCTTTATAGTTTCATTAAGTCCTATCTGTAAGTTATGCCCCCATCTGTAACTATCTGGAAAGCCATAGTTATTAAAGGCTTTGCTTCCCTGCTGTCAAGTGCCACCCCTCTCCTGAGCACTGCCACTGTTTGTCAGCTGCTTGACCAAAGGGCAGATAGGGGCCACAAACTTGGCTGTCTGTGAGCTTCTAGGATCTGGTTAGAAATTTCTAGGACTGATGGAGAGAGAACTGCTTAACACACCAGGTTTAGATGAGCCTGTATGTTCACATTACAAGATGAGATAGGTGACTCTTGGGTGACTCCAAAGAAGCATTAGCTTAGACTTGAGCAGCTGCAATTTTCTGGAAAAGAAAGGAATAGTAAGACAAATGTGAGAATGGCTTCCTAAGACAGTTGGTAATGCACTAGTATAACTTGGGGGAGATTTAGAAATCCCAGCTAGTTTATCTGGATCATTAGACTGGTGTCAATGTACTGAAATTTGTGAACTGAAGTAAGACAGTAAAAGGTCACCATCACTGCAAAAAAAAGAGAAAAAGGCCCCAACCAGTGTCTTTCTACAGACCTTTTCTTTTACTGTGGACTGTTACAAGTGGCACTAGAGATTAGTAAAACTGGGAGAAATTAGGTGAACCAAACCCTTTTCTTGTTTTCTGGTTAGCGCCGTTGTTAGCATTCTTGGCAGAACTTCACAGACACTTTCCGTGTTTTTTCTGCTTGGTTGCACTTCCTGTCTCATTTATTGGCATAATGATGTCATTCTCACACACCACTGGGGAGGAGCACGGTGGCATGCTCTGCCCCAACTCCCTGCAAGAAAGGCTTTCTTGTGCCCCTACAAGAAGATTTTTCTCCTGCTCTGATGGCTAAAATCCAAACGCAAGGTCCCTTTTTTGAGCTTCTCCTGGATGGAAGTGGGAAGCAGAGCAGGAGGAGGCAGCAGAAGCGCCATGACATGCCATCTTCAGTCGGAAGCTACTTACAG